TTTTTTTCCTAGGAAAAAAGAGTGTTTAAAGAGTCTGTATACATATAACGAAACAAATTCTTTTTTGACCCTTTCTTGACCCCTTTAACACACACACACACTCATTTATTAATCAACTGCTTAATTTTGATTTCACCAATATTAATTAGTATTAATTATTAAACGCGCAATAAGCAAGTGTTTGCTGCTTTATCATCTATATGCAAATGTTCCTCCCGTTTTGGGTGTGATTTTGATTTGATTTTAATTTACGTCGCATTCTGAATAAACTCGGAGGCTATTGGCGACGGACAGCATAATTGTGAACCACGGTTAAGTAAAGAGGGTGACATCTAAGCTGTCATCTAAAACCTTCTAACTTTCAAAAAGCCCCCAAGGGGCCCGGGCAATGTAACGTTAGATACCCAGGGGCCCCGGGGGGATACTCTTCATCAAGGCCCTTTTTTGTAGTAATAAATGTTTTCACCCAAATTCTCCATAATAAATCCAATTTTTATTATCTTTATATTGATCAACCAAACAGAGCTTACTAGGGGATATAATAGGAGTGACCTACGTAATTATCAATTCTAAGTAAATAGCGCTTGGAATCTAATCACTTTTTTTAGAAAGTATCCAAAGAATCATTTTTCCCGTTTTCTAAAATAAAGTCCGTTCTATAATTCCCTTTTTTTATAAAAAAATTTTACCAATATCCAGGGCGATCAGCACCTCAGCTTTCTGTCTTTTCCCTCTATTCTATTCATCTACCTTCCATTCTATTACTATCCGACTTCTATTTAACTATCACTTCCATCCTAACTCGGAATGCAAAACCCCCTTATATATCTATTCACTAATCTGCATATCGCGGTTTCTTCTTGAGAGGATTGGATTGAAATAATGCCATCTGGCCCCAAAGATTCCCCAAGAGGATTAGTGAGAAGGCGCTATACAGCCCGTCACAACGTGCATTAGCCCCTCTTCACGATGGACTTTCAGTAGCACTGAGATTCGGACGCGTGATCTAAACCAATCGGCTACCGTGGCCACCCACCCGTTTTTGGCGATGTAAATTTCTAGGTAAACTAAAATAGAGCCAAAATGACGTTGTGATAGTTTCATAGACCAATAAAGCGTGTACATACTAGAAATATAAGCTCCTGACGTATATTTAGCGAAAGCATCTGAGATGGTTAATGATAAAAAGGTAAACCAATTGTTTTTGTGAGTTCTAAAAAATGCATTTAGCATGGGTTGTCCCCATATACGTAAATACATGGGGAAAAAAGCAAGAACACCCGCCCCTGCGTCGATGTACTAGCCGTGATAATGGGCTGATGCATATTTAATCTGTGTTGGAGCTTAGAGTCCTCTCATTAGCGTCGTATGGAAGTTTGGAGCATGCGGTGCCATTTCAAACGTTGTCCTTGTCAGTTGAACGATGTTCAGATTTACGAAATTCATCTCTAATATCCACCTTCATGTAGCTTCAAAGTGGGGCATTAATAAACAATCAATTGTCGATTAATCAGAGAACGAAGTAAATCTATCAAGATCAACCATTTCTTCGATCTCTGAAGAAATGGTTTTTTTGAAGCCATACAAACAGCTTGAATTCAGTAGTCCAAAAATTAGCTGTAGCTTTCAACACATTCACCGAGCAACAGTCAAATTTTTGATTTTATCGAAAAATTGAGTATTGAGGTTCTGTGTCAGCTTATTTCAAATCAACAGAACTGGGATATCTCTTACCCCATTTCCCTGCTTTTTTCGGAACAAAAATGAGCTGTTCTTAAAAGTATTGTGATGCATGAAAAGTGAGGTATGTACCGTAACGGAAAACGTCGACAGGTTGTGTGCCAGCCTTTTGAACCGCTTGCATTAACATCAAAATTGAAATACCAAAGTTTGTTGAGTGAGCAGTGGAGTTTGAAGAGAATCATTGAGGGGAGGGGTAGTCTCCCCCCCCTAGCCAAACCATTCAAGCTACCCCTAATGTCTCTCCAGAAATTATGTTTATCTTAAGGTTATTTATACAAGTCAACGGGCCTTTTTAAAAAATTTTTTTTAAGCAAAAACAGATTTAACCCTTTTTCTACCTCTTTTTAATACCACTTTTTAAAATAACATGAATAATCATTTTTTTTCGAATATTCTGACGAATACAGGGAAAATTCTTTGAAATCCCCTCTACCAAGATATATGGCCACGGGCTCTATGATGGATTTTAGCGCGGATCACGAATAGTTTTATAGCAGAAATTACGCAGTGGTTTTTCAGCGCATTGTGAAGATTTTATTTTGTCCCGAAAAAAAAATTAATGTCTTTAACTTTTTTTTTTTTTTATGTGAATGAAGACCTTAGAAAACGATTTGACTGTTTATTTTGAGTAAAAAATGTATATAATTAATTTTACAGTTAATTATATTTAATTAATAATTAGCTCTTCGGGTTAAATTTCCCAAAGTTGAATATTTTTTTTTTGTATATCACTTAATTTTCAATGTAGTGATTCAAAAAAAAATATTGCATGAAAAAAACTGCAGTAAATCATAATGCGGTAGATAAAGGGTTAAAACATAATTGTTTTTGAAATCTCACAGTTTAATTTCAGAAATATGTCAAATTACGAGATCCGTCGCCAAAAGCCCTCGAGTAGCTGAACAGTGCGACGTTAATATTCACTCACTCAGAAATATGCCCTACTCTCTTTAGAAGTTAAAAAATGTTGAGAGACTTTAAATCGATATTTATAATTAATTTGTTTTTAAAACAAGATTCTATTAAATAGGAAACCAATTAGGAAAACACTTTATTGCAGGTTCTCAACGCATTTTTAACTAACCTCTAGGGAAATCCATTTTATAGATTGTTTGATTAATTTAAGAACCTTATCTGGAGAAGAAACCATGATATAGGCAGATTAGGATTGCTATTTAAAGTGATTTGAAGTGGGAATACAAAAAAATTGGAAATAGTCATTGTAAGGAAGGCTTTTAAGTTTATAAGTGTAAAAGACTTTTTTCGACGAATTAGATTAAAACTCGTGAAGTTGTGTGTGACTGGTGTTCAGATTTCTTCTTAGCTGGAATGCTGCGTGGCTATAATTCAGATCTACATAAAAATTTATGTGAATCTTAATTATTACTAGTTAAGTTCGAGGTTCATTTTGTTACTATTGAGTGCTGACTTATGATATTAATTTACTAAAATATCAGATTAAATAAATTTGATGAGTTTTACAGTGTTTCTTGATTTATATTCCTCAACACATTAATACGGACTCCAATTCGTTTTAACATTCATTATTATCATCGATGCTTCAATAGTCCAGATCATTTTTTCAAGCAGTTCTTGTCACCAGTTCCTGTCTTCTCATGGTCTTGAGCTCAGAGTTAATGGAGTTCAGCCATCGAAGTCTTGGTCGTCCTGTAGTTCGTTTTAACTTTGTTGATAAGAAATAACTTTATTATTAGAACTAATACAGTTTAGAAGAAAGGATTCTCACACAATAAAAGTAGGAACATTATATTTGAAATACGTTATTGCTAATATTTAAGAAAAATTAATTGATTGATTGTTTATTAACGTCGTCCTTTACAGCAATACGAGTTATTGGCAACGAATCTCGTAATTTTGAGCCCCAATGAAATGATAAAGAGGACAGCTGAACAGGTACAACTTAGATATCGTTGTTGTCATGTGTTTTCTTGTCCCGGGAACATATGAAATACAAGTGAAGAACAGAAAGCATACAATACAACAGAAGAATATACAAATTTATTACAGATGATGATCCTAGCATATAACAAGAAGGGGTGCGCTGCTTTCCTTTCGAGACGGGAATCCATTACAGGCGAAAGACCGACTTCTTTCCCGAGTTGAGTTGAGTTCAGTTAAGTTTGGTGTTTTATGGCGCAAGAGCCAGTTTTGGCTATACTGCGCCAAACATTCATAGGTCTGTGATTTGGACGGGAAAAGAAGAAAAGAAGGAATTGGATGACAAGATGGAGGGTCGAAAATAGAAAACAATCACTGGGGTACCCCGGGGTCGTGACACCCGTGTTTACCAAAGATAGTAAACCCCTTAGGAAAAGATCACTAGGGTACCTCGGATTGTGACACCCGCACCCACCTAAAGAAGGTGAGCCCCCTGAGGGGGACTTCTTTCCCGAAGAAGATACAACCATGTCTCACTCAGGATTCGAACCCGAACCCACTCGGTTACAAGCCGAGGGTAATAGCCACCATACTAGCTGTGCGACCTTAGATATCGTGAAAATTTAGAAAGATATCGGCGATTTTCAGCCTTTCACGCCTTCAGTGAGTCGCGATAAATGAGTACCAAGCTTACTTGGGACCTAAACACTGGAAATTTTCGCATCAGAATGATCCTAACTGGAACTTCTGTTCATGTCTAAGGTCATGAAAACTGAGATGTGTGTAGTAGGCCTTGGCCCTCATGGACTGTTGCGCCACTGTGTTTAGTTTATTGGCGATTTAGTGATTAATATTTCTAAAAGTAGCTAAAGGATGAGGGAATTACCAAAAAGACATCTGTTGTACTCATGGTTATTTCAGTTACATAATTCCTTTCAACTACTCGTCTATTCAACTGCTGAAATCTTTTGTCAGCTCATACTTAGTTCAAAACTGTTTAAATCTTCTGATCCTTATGTAAGAATCAACTTTGCAAATGCTTGTATTGTGTAGGATCATTATAAGCCAGTTATTTATGTTATACTTAAGCCTAGTCTTGGGTGTGAATACTGATTTCATCGAAGATATTGATGCGAATAATTAAGGAGAAATTTCGTTTTAAATTAAATAAAATTTAAGAGCTTTCACATGAGGTGTGGTAGGGGGAGTTAGAAGAAAGAAGTGACAACTGAAGTACTGTCATGTTAACGTCCCTACCATTAAAAATTGCTTCATTGGTTTCACGTACCTTTAAATTCAAGTTATAATTCTATTCGATTTATATTATTCTTTTTAGTGAGAATAATGCCTCAAAAGTTTAAATCAAAATTCTATTACAAAAAGGATTTTTATCGGGGATAATATTTTTTCGTTGCATCTTTAATTATCAGACATTTGTCAAATGAATAGCATCTATATGTTGAAATCAAAGATGCCAGACGTATTGATCGAAATTGTGTTATATCTATGTATAAGAAATAAACTTAATTAAATAATTGAATATCATATTGCCTATTCAATTCATTTCATGAATTACTTCTTTCGTTCTAGTAATTTGCGTACAAATTAATTAAATGAATAGGTTTTCGAATGAAAAAAACAGAAATCCTCAGTATTGAAATCCAAATTCCATTATTATTAATTTCTGGAGAGTGACAAATATTTACGGAGCAAACTATTAAGAACTGTGAATTTCATTATATTCGTATACTTAATTTACACTTATTAATGTTTTTTGAAAGTCTGAAACACACATACTAATTCAATTAAATTTCCAATTTCTCACGAAACGACTTTTGAAATAGAAAATGATGTATGACAAACATTTCAAATATGTAGAAACGTGAAATAGTTCAAAAATACGTTTAGTGACAAAACGCCTCATTGCTAAGCCTTATATAAATAATTAAATCATGAAGTTCTGAAAGAAAAGCGTTTAACAATAATATAAAAAAAATTTAAGTCATTTCGTACTTAGGTCAACAAAGAAAAATATTTATTTTAGTTATTTTTATTAAATAGTTACAATTAATATTAATATGTATATACATATGACAGAATCACACTATTAAGTGACAAAATAGAAAGCGATTTTCTTTGCAATTATCCATTTTCCTTCCTATATAGGGTGGTGGACTAGTTTTTGTTTGCTGTTATTTATTTATTGATTAAATTTAATTATTCTAATAAAATAGTATAGTTAAAAAGAAATCACGTTCTCAGAAATTAGACCATCCCAGGTGGGATTCGAAACCACGACCTTTGGATTAGAAGTCCAATGAGCAATCCATTTAGCTATAGGGATACAACGAACAATTTTCCTTTCTATATAGGCTTTTGGACTATTATTTTCGTTTGCTACTATTTATTTATTTTTTAATTTAATTAATGAATTGATACTTGAAAAAACTGTATTAACATCAAGTGTCATCTATTACAAGTTTTAAAAAATGTATTTGAACTTTGAATGGATGAATAAAAAGTATTTTTTAACGATTAAAAATTTGAACAAGATATAGATATATATATAGGGAGAGAGTAAACTAATTGTAGGAATTTAAAAAGTGTGATTAAACTGTGCAAAATATTTAGGAGGCACGCGGATTCAGTTTTGTTTTCCTTGATACTTAGATTTTGTGTGTATCAGATTTATTTTATTTCTAATCGAACACTTTTAAATATTTCAGCAAAATCAACTGCATATATTCGAATCATTCAAAGTCATTCTATTTATTAATGACCAATGATTTATATAAGTCGCTTAGAGGGAATTTTCCAAGCATTACTGTAACCAAGAATATGTTTGGAATTTCATGTTTTTATCACTTAGGACAGGAAATGTTTCAAAAAATACATTTCGTGACAAAATGCTTACATTGCTAAGCTAATTTAAATAGTGGAAATCATAATTCTGAAAAAGGATATGTGATTAGCTAATGTAAAACATTTAGGCAACATACGCATTCAGTTTTATTCTCTCCTTGATACTATATTTTGTGTAACAGATTTATTTTATTTCTCAATCAAACTTCAAATATTTCAGCAAAGTCAATTGCATATATTCGAATCATTCAAAGTCATTCTATTTATTAATGACCAATGATTTATATAAGTCGCTTAGAGGGAATTTTCCAAGCATTACCTTAGCAAAGAATATGTTGGAATTCATATTTTATCCCTCGGAAACGGGAAATGTTTCAAAAATACATTTCGTGACAAAATGCCTCATTGCTAAGCCTAATTTAAATAATTAAATCATGAAATTCTGAAAGAAAATCGTTAGAAAAGTGTGATTAAACTGTGTAAAATATTTAGGCAGCACACGCGTTCAGTTTTATTCTCTCCTTGATACTTATATTTTGTGTACCAGATTTATTTTATTTCTCTAATCAAACACTTTCAAATATTTCAGCAAAGTCAATTGCATATATTCGAATCATTTAAAGTCATTCTACTTATTAATGACCAATGATTTATATAAGTCGCTTAGAGGGAATTTTCCAAGCATTACCTTAGCAAAGAATATGTTGGAATTCATTTTTTTATCCCTCGGAAACGAGAAATGTTTCAAAAATACATTTCGTGACAAAATGACACATTGCTAAGCCTAATTTAAATAATTAAATCATGAAATTCTGAAAGAAAATCGTTTGAAAAGTGTGATTAAACTGTGTAAAATATTTAGGCAGCACACGCGTTCAGTTTTATTCTCTCCTTGATACTTATATTTTGTGTACCAGATTTATTTTATTTCTCTAATCAAACACTTTCAAATATTTCAGCAAAGTCAATTGCATATATTCGAATCATTCAAAGTCATTCTATTTATTAATGACCAATGATTTATATAAGTCGCTTAGAGGGAATTTTCCAAGCATTACCTTAGCAAAGAATATGTTGGAATTCATTTTTATCTCTCGGAAACGGGAAATGTTTCAAAAATACATTTCGTAACAAAATGCCGCATTGCTAAGCCTAATTTAAGTAATTAAATCATGAAATTCTGAAAGAAAATCGTTAGAAAAGCGTGATTAAACTGTGTAAAATATTCAGGCAGCACACGCATTCAGTTTTATTCTCTGCTTGATACTTATATTTTGTGTACCAGATTTATTTTATTTCTAATCAAACACTTTTTCAAATATTTCAGCAAAGTCAATTGCATATATTCGAATCATTCAAAGTCATTCTATTTATTAATGACCAATGATTTATATAAGTCGCTTAGAAGGAATTTTCCAAGCAAAGAATATGTTGGAATTCATTTTTTATCCCTCTTTTGAAAAGTGGGACTAGGCTGTTTTCCATTACCTTGGTGTGGGGCATTTCCTTTACAGCTGTGAATAATTTCGGACGCTTTTAAACGTCAGTGATTTGCATCGGGTGGGAACTGTACAGACATGGGATTTGCATAATGCCTCTAATGCGTCGTCGTCTAGGCAATCTTTCGCCATATAATTTGATTATTCAGTTCTTTGCTGCTTTATTCGAAAAAGCATTTTATTTTTAAAAGGAATTCACGCTTTTAAGATCGAAGGGAGAATTTTTTTTTGCATCTGTAATTAAGAACATAGTTGCATCAGAAAGATGCTTTTAAAATTCTAAGAGCTTAAATATAAGTTATATTTCTGGAATTTATATAGAGTGGTATTTTGTTATTTAAAAATAATTTTTAAAACAGAGCAGGGATTAAAAACTCATTATGCGATATGTTGCACTTTTAGTTGGAAGAGATATAGTTTAAATTTGTGAACCAGTATTTGCATTAAGATTAATTATATTCCAAAGACATTATTGGGATTTTTCTAATTCTTTAAATATTTTGTTCTGGAATTTTTATCTTTTTCTTCCTTGAATAAGCAAGCTCTTCGCATTAGGACAGTCTGAGATGTTCCTTAATTATTATAATATATTCTTATCTAAGCTATTTTAACTAAATGAAAGACATAAAAGTTACTTCAAAATACCGAATCGGCTTTTTTAACATCTAAAATAATTTTTTTTCGCTTCTCCCTCCCTTTTAGTGATATTTATAGCATATTACATTCTATTTCTTTTTTCAATTTGTTCCTGGAATTATTTTTAACTGCGCAGTTAATTGTTGCTTAATATACTTATTTTTTTTCTAAATATTGTATGCAATTTTACTTAATTTTTGAACACTATTTGTGATTGATCATACACGCACCAGGAAAGCTGAAAGTTCTAATGAAGGTATGTATCTGACTATGTTTTCAAGCGTGATTTTACAAAAGCATATAAATGAATATTTTTTCTTTTTTTTTTTTGCTATTTAGTGTCATTTAAATTAGAATATACACATAAAATTGTTTAAAAAATATTAATACAGTGAAATAATATTTAAATACAATTTTTTTTTAAAAAAGAAAATGAAAAAAAAGGACAATATCCTTTTGTTGAAAATGCTTGTATTTTAAAAATATTTGCCTATATATAGCTTTCACACTTATAAAGGTCTGAGCCAGAAAGATTGAAAAATTCACATTGTTTTCAGAATTTATTAAAACAGTAACTGGTGTATTTTTGTTAAAATTTCTCTACACTC